TTGAGTACACCATACTCGACACACGACACACGTTCCACACTTCCATCGGTGCAACTCGCTCTATACTCTATAGTCTAAACCACAGATATATAAACATATATATGTATGTTTATATATCTGTGGTCTATACTCGACGTGCTCAGTGCTCACAACTCTCGTCATAATATTATTATTATTATTATTACCATAGTCAACGCGGTATTAAACATTGAACACTCGAATGCGATCTCGCGATCTAATGTACGTCGTGGTATCCCATCAACTACCCCGCCGACATGTTTTCATTTCGTGATAATAAATAATATTTTCCAACCGAGAACGACTGATTCATAGTAAGTAATAAACTGAATCGTCGTGATTGTTCGTGAATATTAACGAGAACGRCCTAAGCCAAAACTTGTGTAGACTATAGTGCACTAGCACTATTATAGTCGACTGGCGCAGTTATTGCAGTTGTAGTCGTCGAACACCAACACACGCGACTTTATTGATAATAATAATTTAAAAATACGATTACACAACAAACACACGTCACACACACACATATACACATACACGCACACACACACTCTCACATATTTACTCCGAAACCGGTAAGAGAAGAAAATAATATCACACATAATACAATATTCACATTATTGTTTAGAACTGCAGAAGGCAACGACCAGCGCTCGGCATCAACAAACCGCCGCCGCAGCAGATTCCATATTTTCAGTGCGCTACGTATTCAGCATCCGTTCGATCATCTCTCTCTCTTAATTTAACACCATATTATTATTATGTCTGTGTTACCGCGGAGAATACTCAAGGAGACACAACGTCTGATGCAGGAACCGGTGCCCGGAATTAGTGCCAAACCGGACGAAGGAAATGCGAGGTGAGACGCATTTTTTCGCGCATAGTGTACTATCTATTGAAGTTGTCAGTGTCTATCCACTAATGTTGRCCACTAATCACTATTGTTATTTGCGTGCRCAGTCTACCCTGTGCTTAGGACGCTGTTTGAATTACGTTTTTGTTTCGCGATTCTCTTGCACCTACYTTACGATAGTGGCGTACGTCGGTCGTTTAATTAATTAATTGCCTTATCAAATTTTTTTGTTTTTCATGCCTCAGGTATTTTCACGTCAAAGTCACGGGGCCCGAAGACTCACCATTTGAAGGGGGCCTGTTTAAGTTGGAACTATTTTTGCCCGAAGACTATCCAATGTCTGCACCAAAGGTTCGCTTCATCACTAAAATTTACCATCCAAACATTGACCGACTTGGAAGAATATGTTTGGATATACTTAAGGACAAATGGTCACCAGCATTGCAGATACGTACTGTTCTTTTGTCCATACAAGCATTGTTGAGCGCACCAAATCCAGACGATCCATTGGCAAACGATGTAGCAGAACTATGGAAAGTCAATGAAATAGAAGCCATACGCAATGCTAAAGAATGGACACGCATGTATGCCACAGAAAACTGAACTGTACGCTTTAAGTGAGGAGTATAAAAATAAAGTTAAAAGTTAATTATTATAATAATATAAAATACTCTGAATGAAAACCATTCTAAATCGAGCAATATACTTTATATATTTTTTTCCAACAGTTGTCTTTTAACTAATGGAAATTTATTAAGAATTATAGAAAATGGTAATGATGGAATATAATTGTTAACATATTGTTGTTCCCTCRAATTGTATTATTATGCCTTTGGTATGTAATCACAATGTTAACTTAAAAGGGTAGGGAGTTTTACTAGCCTATTCTACTGAATGAAATATAGAACTGTTAAAGTCATCAGTGAATACTAGTAATTTACTTATATATATATATTATATTTATGTAAAACTTATGTATTTTCATTTTAATGTTGTAATGCTTTTCATCAGTTATATCTTAATTTAAACTTGTTCGTAATCTTTTATTATTCAAATTTTTTTTTATGATTATTATTATATTGCTGAAATTCATCATTCTTGTGTGAATAAACATTTGTTTAAGACTTAACTAGCCTTTGAGTAAACTATTATGTACCCAATGGAATATTTAAATCACCATCCTAAACACTGGTTTTTTTTTTACTGCTAAAATAAATTTTGAAATATAATAAATTTTTTTCATTAATCTTACATTTGCTCATTTTTCTAAAATAAAACTGATAAATTGGATATATTAAATCTTTATTAACTATAATGAGTAATGACTAAGCAACTCAGACAGTCTTATCACTTTAACAGGATATCAGTAAAATTATTTTATTGTTAGGATATATGAATAATTGGTTTTAGATTGTAAGACGCAGTTTTTATATCATTGGTTTTGCTGAGCAATACACTCTTATTCATTATTATTTAWSCCTAAAAAAATTAATGACATCCACTTCACTTTGTTTGGGACAAAATGATTCTAGTTAAAAAAAAAATATTTGTAATGCCTTGTGATTCTAAAATTGCAATTAAATAATAGTTTACAATACCTKTGTTTTAATATTTTAAGCAAATTTGACATACACTATAATCTTGTCAATTGTCAATGAAAATGTTTGCATTTTGATTGTACTACAACTGTTGTATATTTGAAATAAATTGTATACATTAAATATGATCATTTTTTTAAATTTATATTTGTTAACTATAAGAAAGAGAAGTGATTTAAAAATGCATTATGTATGAATTTTGTACTAGAACCTTAAAATTATAATACAGATTTATGTATTAAGCATTAATTAGAAATTTTCAGAAGCAGTGGATACTTCATAACTACAGAAATAAATTTAAAATAGTAGAATTTTTTTTTTTATTATTATTCATGGTACAGCTTCAATTGCTATAGTTATTAGCTTGTAACAAAATTAGTATTTAGCACATAGTAAAATATGGTTATACAATAGGTTCTTAAATTAGATTATGTGTCATATCAATTTGTTTTTAAAATGTAATTATTTTGTTGGTGTTGTCATAGGTATGGCTGAGGGCTTCAAAGAGGTTGTCGGGCAATTTTAGATTTTTTTCTGGTATCTATATGGATAGGGCAGTGGATAAAGGAGATGCTTGACTATGAGAGGTTCTCCACAGGTTAGGCACATTACAGGTTCTTCTCTGCGCTTAAGATGTCCATCTTTGAGTGACCTATACATAGTCTACTGATAACTACTTCATCTTTACGGTTTGATGAATGGGGTTTAGGCCAGTATTCAGTAGTATTTTTTATTTCTCTTAATTTGTTATTGGGTGTGTGCCGCCATTCAGATTCCCATAAATTGGTACAAAAAGTGTTGACATTTCTGTGGATGTCGATGAGTGATGAGTATGTGCATATTTCGGTCAGAGTGTTGTTTACTGCTTCACGAGCTACTTTGTCAGCTTTCTCATTGCCATCTATTCCACAATGGCCTGGTATCCATATAAACCGTATGTTCTTGTTGGCTTTTTCAACGATGTTGCTTATTTTGATTGCTAGGATGCTTGAGTGTAAATTATATTTCAAATTGTTTAAAGCGCTGAGTAGAATTTAATTTCAAGAATTCATCAAGATGTGTATTCCACATTTCATTTATACCACTTAAGAGCAGTTTCACTCTGCACAACACTAGTTACTAACCAATATAAATTTTTATTCAAAGTGCAATCATTTTAATCGTGGTATTTACAGAGCAAAAAAATATCCTCACAACTTTTTTAATATCTTATACAATATAGATAATGTACTAATGGCACATTTCTCTGTTTAACATTATATTTTTTGTATATATCCAAAAGGATGGTGACTGCCTCTGATCTACAATTAATTGAATCTATTTCTAATAATAGTATGTTATATTACATTACCATTATCATACATATCTTTAATTAGATAAGTTAACCCTGTTAAACTAATCTTTGCCCAGCACATTGCTTTTGACATGCATGTCAAATAGTCCTGTATTTTAGAGGTAGACCCGGGTTGGGTATATCACTCTTCCCTAAACTTCTCCAATACATGTTTATTAGTTTTCTTTTGTTTTTAAATATGAAACATTTTAATGAAAGTACTTGAATGTATCGTATTGTTGATTTGTATGTGGACATTTATAATTCAAATATTTTTCTCATTTTTTTTGTAGATGGTGTAAAAGTAAACAATGCCAAATTGTACCATATTTCCATATTATTACTAGAACAGAAAATTATAAAATATTTGCTCTTTATTCTTATTTTTAAACAAATAAATATCACTAGTGTAACTATGGTTTGGGTGTTTTAACTCCCCCATTGACATTTTTAAACTTAATAAATGTATTAACTATTATTTGTATAKGTACAAAAAYTTATTTAAATGTATACTTCCCCCATTTTTAATAATTCTGGCTATCTTATCCACTGCGGACATCCAATTGTCCCAGAATTTTGATTAAACATAATTAATAGAAAAAAAAATACATTTGATTTGATAAATGATTAACTGATTTAATTAATGAGTTGATTGACTGATGATATCTATTATTTTGGGTAATTATATAAGCATTTATTGCTTTTCAGTTACTCATTCTGATTCATCACATTGAGTTAGTTTTTACTTTATTAATATGTTATAGAAACATAATGCTAGTTCGGTTTCWCAATTATGGAAAAATAGGATGATAAATCTGTTGGTTAATGATAAAGAAGTGATGGGAACTGCAAACAGTTCAAATACTTCTTGTAAAAAAGTTGTGTCCGTGATATTTTTAAATATTTAATGTAGGAAAAACTTGAGGAACATGGAACCTATTAAATTTTTTTTTTTTATTTTAAAATTTAATATTTTCTGATCCAAACCTTGATGAAAATAATGCTTATTGACTTAAAACAAATTACGTTCATGAATACTCTTCATTCACAGTAACAAACATAATTTTAGGATGAATAGTGTTATAYGTTTACACTTACTCTAGGTAAATTGCGTTTTATGAGTGTTGTTTCAAAATTTTAAATTTTAATTGTAAATGTACTCTTACTAGAAACACCAAAGGTCAACACAATATAGAAGATAATATTTACAACACAGAAAGCGTTTTTATTTGTTTGATATCTTTAATAAGAAAAAAGTTATTTTACTTTAAAAAATCTGATATTTTTAAGTTTTTCAAATTTCAACAACTTTTGATATATTAGTCTATCGATAAAATAATAATGCTCTGATACTTAAAATTCCCTTTTTTTC